GCCACGTTTAAAGAGGAGCCTGCCTTTCGCAAGCTACCGAGGCCAGAATTTCTAGGCTCTAATGAGCTCCAAAATGAAGCTGTTGACTTATCGTTAGTTTCCTAATGTGGTTTCTAAGTAATTGGGTTTAATTCTCCTGTTAAGAAGGTGGCTCATTGTTTTTCTTTATGGACATAGTAAAATATCCAAGAAGTGGGGTTTTTTCTTCTTCCTGTAGGAGTTATTTCAGACTAAGCTTTGATCTCTTGCTTAGGAAGACTGTCTCTTCCCAGGTGCTAGTTTCCAGCAGCCCCTGCTTCTTGGTCATTCCAGATACGTTGTACGTTGTGATGGAGTTTACTGTGCGCACTTGCTCCTCCCGCCCTAGGAAGTCCTCGAGTTGTATCACCAAAGCGCTCTTCCATGCGTCCTGGCTCTCGCTGCGTCCTCCCACCCCCCGCCCTCCCTTCCCACTGCACCACCAGCTTTGCCATTTCTCAGTGCTAACGTTAGGACTTAGAACTTGCAGAATTTGATTTGCCTTGCCTTCCACTCCCTTTCTGGTGGTGACCAAGTTGAAGAGCAAGTCAGAACCACTGCGTTGAAAGAAAATACTTGTTTGAGAGTTTTCTGATTTTACCTTTGGTAGGAGCCAGGGGATGTGGTAAGATTTATTTTAAAAGAAAATCCTTATTTTATTTTTTCCATGACCTAATAATTGATATTTGCTTTAATTAAAAAATCCTCATGTTAGCCTAAGCCATTTTTTATTGCTTACCAAATGTGCCTTTGGTTGGGGTTCGTGGAGCTTTATTAGTCACTATTTGAATAACTGGATATCACTGCCATCCCAGGGAGGTCATCTGTCCTGGTGTTAGAACAGCCTGCGGCAGCTCTCCTTAGTGCTGTCTTTTCTCGTGGGCAGACATAGTTGAGAAAGATACAGCCTGAAGAGCAAGCTTGTTTCAAGAGGAGAATTTGTGGGTGAAGCCAGCTTTGCAGCACAAATTGTCGAGTTGCTTTAGGCTGTTCCCCCATGTAGGACCCTGGCCCCAGCCCTCTCCCCTTGCGGTAGCAGAGTGGTGTGGACAAGCAGCTGCTAACTCAAGACTCAGTGTAGCTGAGTAACCCATGCTACAGTGAGCGGGGTTGAGAAGACCATCGACGGAGGCCTGGGTTTTGCTAAGCACTGCCGATGTCATCATTAGGACACATGACAGTAAGATGCTGATTTTGTGGTACTGGAGAATGCACTCAGTTATTTATAATCATGAAGGAGGTGCATATCTGAAACCATTTAAAATAGTGTAATAGCTGTCTAAGATGTCAACATCAGCACAGTCCCTGGAGCTGAAAGAGAAGGTAATAGTGAGTTGGCTGTTCTCCATGTTCTCTGAAGAAAGGTCTGGGGTTAGTTCTCATTTACTGTGTTTATCAGGAGTGCCTAGGGGATGTGAGCACTACGGAGGGTGGAGGCGGGCAGCACTCCCAACAGGAAAGGAAAGTACAGTGGTGTGTGCAGCACACAGCTATTTGGTGTGAGTGCAGACTGACACAGGTGGGATGTGAAAGAACCGACTCAAGCTGGAGGTTCCATTTAGACGTGAGCCCATTGTCTTCACTCCTTCCCGTGTTCAGTGAGATTAACCACAGGCAGAGGCTGGGGAGAGATGTCTGTTCTTCCTCACCACCGATCCCAAAAATGAACTGTCTGATCCACTTAAAACTGGAAGTTGAAATCTAGACTAGACTACGTCTTTCAAGAGCTTTTTATGTTTTGAAAATTCACAAGCCCAAGTTTGGTTCCATCTGGAGTAAGTTGACAAGTTAGGGAAGAAAAAAAAATACCTTGAAGGTCCAGCTGTGATTTCTGGAAGAAGAATTTGAATACATAAATAACCCTTAGGTAGGGAAGCTTAGACATTCTTTGCTGTGAAAGTATTTATCTGAGAAGAAGAACGATGTAATCACAGACTTTTGCAGCAAAGCCACTTGGTTGAGGTTTTCTATTGGTGTGAAAGGCTAAGCCACTGAAAAGGTTTTCAGGGGGAACTTCTGAGCCACCTGCTCGATGGTTAAATGAAAAGATCTGTACAAAAGGTGTAATTAAAACGTGGGAAGGAGAGGTAAGGCGGGTGGGCACTTCAACCCTTTTGTTCAAGCTTAAACTGCCATGGATAGCCCCAGGGTCCACAGGGTTTTTAATATTTAGTAGGGTTTTGAGTCTTGATGTGGAGTGAAATTGATGGGAGGTTTCCTGTGATCACTTGCTCCCCCAAGAGCAAGAGCCCTTAGGCTGCTTGTTTAACAAACTTCAGCAGCTTTCCAACCATGGATGACCAGGTTGTTCTTCGATTAAGTGTGTTTGTGGGATTTTCAAACCACAAATGAAGTACTTTTTGTGAGTGAGACAGCCTTGATAAATATGTGCGTATTTTCGACCCACAGTTGGGAATATGAGGAGGGCTGACTCTATCCACTGCTCTGCACTGTTTTATATAAGGGACTTGCGCATCCGTGGATTTGGGTCCTGGACCCAATCCCTAGTGAACACCAAGCAACGACTGTAGCTAAGGTTGTAGGGAGCCAAAGTGAATTCGTGGGTTTTCGACGGCCTGGGGAGCTGGCACCCCTAATCCCCACGTTCTCCAAGGATCAATTTGTACTTTGTATTTAGATGCCAAAATATGGCAAATTATTTTCAAATGATAGCTAAAAATCGGCATTTTTCATATTTCACATCTTTTACAGAACAGCTAATTTTTCATTTCTTTTTTATTCTGAATTAGGAAAATTATTGAGAATGTTGTGGGCTTCCATGTGTAGAATGTAAAGGAATTGCAGAGTATTGTCCCCCTCATTCTGATGGACCACTTTCAGTGCCCCCCAGGACCTGGGCCTAGCCATCTTCTCCATATTCCACACAGATGCCTATCAAAGAAAAGGCTCAGTTATTATTTTTCTGAAAAAGGTTAAGTCCTTTTCTGAAGTCATCAAATGGACCTTACCTGGAAAGGTTCTAATATATGAAGAAATACTTTATGTTTATACAGTATTTATTAGATATTTGTAACTGTAAACTCACCTACCTAGTAGACAGAGTTTCAGGTTAAATATTGGGACATGTACAGGCAATCAAAATATTACTTTAAATGTCATTCACTTATTTTAAAGCTATGTTGTAGCACTTTTTAACGCTAGGTAAGTCTGACGGTGCCTGTTTTTATCATCTGTAATCTCACAAACTTTGTTATTGAAATTGCATGGCAGGAGAGATTGAATTATTTATTTCTTACATTTTTATAAGTGGAAAAATCTCTCCAACCAACAGATGATTAAAGTTGTTACTGATTATTTGTTCTCTTATCCTCCTAAGCAGAATGATAACAAAGTTTTTTTCCAGCTGATTAAATGCACTTAGCTAATAAACCAAAATTTATTTAAAATAAAAAAAAAAAGCTGTGTGGAATCTGGATAAGATTATGTTTCTTCCAGGAAAACAAATTAGTGCAAATGCTTTTGATGGACAAGTGTGACCACTTTTGAGAAAAGGTTATGATAGATTTTTTTGTTAATTTTCTGAGAACCTCCAGGTCTTCGTTTTTAATTTATATGCATGTGGATAATTTGTGTATGTTTTCAAAAACATGGAAGAATCTCCATATTTTTTAATGCAAATTATCTTGTAAGCTGCTATGCAAATTGTATTAAAAGGCCTACCTACTAAAAAAGTTAAACATTTTTGAAGCTTCAGGGAAGACCTGTAGACTTAAGCACTTTCTCTGCTTTTTTGTATCTTGTCTTGGATACGCTGAATTATGTTATTGTTTTCACTGGTTATAAGCTATTGATTGTACATAATATTTAAATCGTCCAAATATCCAGCATACATTTCCATGTTGTTGCCATCCACTATCAACACCATGAGTGAAATGGCTGGTTGGAAAGCCAAAGTTCATGCTTTTACAATCCTTAATGAAGTAAAATGCCAGATCTCTTTGGTCTCAAAACATTGTTCTGGTCTGATCTGACTATCTGTGTAAGAGAGACTTCTTTAAATTAGGGATGCTTAAACTTTTAAGTTGAATTTGACTATAGTCATACTTAAATATTTTTGTCAAGTATGTTATGTGGCAGGTGATATTATATTCTACCTTGAGTTTGGAAATTTCAGTTAAATTTGAATTGTTATAATGGCCTCTGAAGATGAAGACAAAGGAATCTGCCATCTGCTGCCATTCTTCCTCTGTCTCGATTTTAATTGCTTGGAAATCTAGAATTATTTTGACTTTCTATATACTGTCTTTAAAAACCGACACAGCAGACTCCCCCCTCCCTTCCCCTTTTTAAGCTACATCTTCGTGCTGAGTATATAGACACTTGATAAATGTGTCATGTTAGTTCTAAAATAATTATGCTTTATATCAGGATTATGTTTTCTTGATCGATATAGCTATTCTCATGGTGAAATTTATTTTGTACTAGTAATAGACTGCTTAAGTGGCTGATTTGAAAACCTTTCTCTAAAAAAACAAAGTTATCTGGCAGATAATTGATATAAGTTCATCCTATGAAAGAATCAAATTTCAAGTTAAGGTAAAGTACAGTAAGTAGGCATATAGAGCATATCTGTCTCCTTGTCTCTTTTGACACTAGCTAAACTGCCAACTGGAAGAATGATTGTTATATATCAACTAGAAAAATATTTTAACAAGGTTTCTTCTATTGTTTCAAAACTGATAAACTTGAACTTAATCTCTTGCCATTTATTCTTCCTTTCCACTTTTCAGGTTCCTGAACCAAAGCATATTCTGGGTTTTTTAAAGCAAATCTGCATTTGATACAATGCATAAATATGCCATTTGCAAATGATTGCTTGTTCTCCAATGAGCATTTGGTTATATTCAACAAAAATTG